CCCGTTCACAATCAGTTGCTTGTTGATAAGTCTATATTTTATATATATTTTATTCCTCCTTTGCTTATTTATTTGTTAATTTTCTTGGATTAAATTGGTTGTTTTAATTGGTTTTGTGAGATTTGTGAAGGAATTGTGAAATAGGAAAAAAGTGTGCTAAAAAGGGCAAGAAGATGAAGATTTGAGTTTAATTAAAAAGAACCCAAGTCATTCTTTTTGTTGCAAGGAATGTTGTCAAATTTCCTAGTTCAAGATGGTTCAAGTCTTATCAAGTCAAACAAGGAGAAATAAAGAAGACCTTATATTAGAAGGAATCCTATATTTATAACAATTGTAATTATACCTTAGGTAGGATTTCTAGGAGTTTTATAAATAGGGAGTTTAGGTCATTGTTCAAAGGATCCATTACCCATCATCCATCCGCGATCCTCCATCATCTACCATCAAAAGTCCTACATATTCAGACTCATAGCCAAAACACTCAAAGGAGAGAGAGAGTTTTAGAGAGACAAAGAAGACGACCTGGAGCTAGAATTGCTGTTGTGCAGAGATCAAATCTTCAATTGGTTTTTTCTTTCCTATGACACTGTTTATCATGGTTTTTATTAAAGTTGTCATGAACTAATTTCTTTTTGCTAGGGCTACGATGTAGCCTAGCCATGAATACTCAATTACTTTAGTCAATGTTAATTCCAAGTATTTTTCCATGTTTAGTATCTATTACCATGCTTAATGCTTTGAATGTTTGGCCAACACTTAATTGTGTTTTGATGCTAAATTGACGATAGGGATATCCAATTTAGGGTTGCTTCTTGTAATAGATGCCATGAGTTACATGATTAGACAGGGTTGTTTGTCATAACTTATGTGGTTGTTTTGCAGATTTTCCAAGGAATTTAATGGGTTCTTATTATCTTAATTCCATCACTAGGGATAGAGTGGGTTGATAATAAGAATACTTTTGGTATAACCAGTGATGGAGTATCGAATAAAGTAAGGAAAATCAACAGTCAACATGGAGAATAATTAGGATTAACATGCTAAGGGAATTGGGTAGAATTGGCTATGGTGAAATCGGAAGCTCTAGTGCTCTCATAACTTGAATCTCACTATATTATTTTTCTAAGCTTGCTTTTATTCATTATTTTAGTCAATTAATCAATCAAAATCTCATCATTCAATTGTTCAAATAAAGTCTTGGGTTAATCACAATTGGTACTTAGTAAATTAAATCACTCTTCGTGGGAACGACACTTCACTTATCACTGTATTACTTGTGCGGATTGTGCGCTTGCAATAAATTCACACCAAGTTTTTGGCGCCGTTGCAGGGGAGTGTTTTCAATTTTATTAATATTGATATAGATTGATTCGGATTTTAATTTGAATTTTTTTTTGTTTTTTTTTGTTTTTGTTTTTGGTTTTTTTTTAGGTACTTCACCAATGCATGAGTTTTGGGAGACGTTCGCAGAGTCTTGCGTTCATACCATTAGATCCAGAGATCGAGCGGACGCTTCACAAACTCACCCGGGGGAAGGACGCAATATTGGAAAAGCCATCAACTATGGCTGAGGAACCGAAACCAGTAAGAGACTATGATGTCCCATTTGTGGTGGCATCACCATCGAACATTCGTCGTCCAACCATTGATGCCAATAATTTTGAAATCAGACCAGACATAATTTCAATGATTCAGCAATCCTCCATCTTTTGTGGTTTACCTCAAGAAGACCCTAATAGCTATATCTCTAATTTCTTGGAGATATTTGACACATTTAAGTGCAATGGAGCTTCCAATGATGCTGTTCGCTTAAGGCTTTTTCCTTTCTCATTAAAGGAAAAGGCAAAGTCATGGTTGAATTCTCAACCACCTAATTCAATTACTACATGGGACGACTTGGCCAAGAAATTTTTAGCTAAATTCTTTCCTCTTGCAAAGACTGCGAAACTCAGGAATGACATGGGACAGATACAAGGATATGCTAAGGAAGTGCCCACATCATGCGCTACCTACCTGTTTGCAAGTTCAAGCGTTCTACAATGGTTTGAACAATACAAGCAAAACCACAATTGATGCTGCAGCCGGAGGAGCTTTAATGGGAAAAACAGAAACTGAAGCGTATAACTTGCTGGAAGAGATGGCGTCTATTAACTATCAATGGCCTAGTGAGAGATCAACACCAAAGAAAGCTGGAATTCATGAGATTGACGCCATATCTGCGTTAACTGCGCAAATTTCTACTCTATCTAAACAACTTGGTACTTTAAATGTTAATGCTATTCAGTCTACTAATTTAAGTTGTGAATTTTGTGCAGGTCCTCATCATGGCATTGAGTGTGGAGCTGGTCCATTCACATCACCATCTGAACAAGTGAACCAAGTCTCTGATTTTAACCGACAACGGAATAACCCTTACTCCAACACTTATAACTCGGGATGGAAGAACCATCCGAATTTTTCATGGAGTAACAACCAAAATGTACATGGACCACCTGGTTTCACACCTCAAGAAAAGAAGCATGGATTGGAGGATATAATTACTCAACTTGCTGGAAACGTCAACACTCTCTCCATCAATACAAATCAATTTATGAGCAAAACCGAGACGACCCTTCAGAACCAAGCTGCCTCTATCCGGAATTTGGAGGTTTAGATGGGCCAGCTAGCTAATGTATTGACAGGAAGAGTAAAAGGGGCTTTAACGAGCCAAACTGAGATTAATCCGAAAAACCAAGAACATGCAAAGGCGATAACTCTTCGGGAATAGGAGGCCAATAAAAACAGCAATAGACTTGGATGAAGAAAAGAATATCCAGCAGCAAATTGCAGAGAAATCAGAAATTGCTAGCGCGTCGCCGTCGTTGTCTACCACCATTGGACCCGCTGCACAACATGCTGAAATTTCTGCAGAAATTGAACCTGCTACTGTAGAGAAATTACCTCAACTTGCTGCCCCTATGAAGCCATATGTACAGCAAATTCCGTTCCCACAACGTCTTCGGAAAAACAAAATGGATGCACAATTCTCCAAATTTCTTGATATCTTCAAGAAATTACAAATAAATATTCCTTTTGCCGATGCTTTGGAGCAAATGCCGAGTTATGCCAAATTCATGAAGGACATTATATCAAAGAAGAGGAAATTGGGCGAACATGAGAGAGTGAAATTATCCGAAGAATGCAGTGCTATTTTGCAAAGGAAGCTACCACCTAAGCTAAAGGATCTAGGGAGTTTTACTATACCCTGCACTATTGGAACCACTTATTTTGAAAAAGCTTTATGTGATTTAGGGTCTAGTATTAATCTAATGCCTTCTTCTGTTGCTAAACATATTGGGTTGGGGGTAATTAACCCAACCGCTGTTTCTTTGCAGATGGCGGACAGGTCCATAACATATCCCAGAGGCATAATTGAGGATGTTTTAGTCAAAGTTGATAAGCTTATTTTTCCAGCGGATTTTCTGATTTTGGACATGGAGGAAGATGCCGAAACCCCTATTATTTTGGGCCGCCCCTTTTTAAAAACCGGGAGGACATTAATTGATGTGGACAAAGGTTTATTAATTTTGTGAGTGGCTGATGAGCAGGTGACCTTCAATGTCTCTGAAGCAACAAAGTACCCAATGGAATCAAACTCTTGTTTTCGAGTGGATATAGTGGAAAAAGATGTCTCTGAGAAATTTAAAGCAGAAAATCCAGGTGATCCATTAGAGGCTTGCCTTGCGCATTCTTTTGCTACTGAGCATGAGGATCCAAAAATTTCTGAGATGGTATATTTTTTGGAAGTGATGAAACCACGCCCTCCTGGAAGGTGGCGCGAATTTGAGGAACTTGGCATCACAACCTCCAAGCCACAACCCAGTGTCATTACTGCACCAACCCTCACATTGAAGCCCCTACCTTCCCACTTAAGATATGCATACTTGGGTAATTTTGAAACTCTTCTTGTGATTATTGCTGCAAATCTGAGTAAACTAGAAGAAGAGAAATTACTACGAGTTTTGAGGGAGCATAAAATGGCAATAGGGTGGACTATTGCAGATATTAAGGGAATTAGCCCTTCCATGTGTATGCACTTGTCATGACTCGACCGGTCGCCCCTCTACCCAGCCGTACCACTCCTCTTCTGGGTCTCGTTCTGCTGGTTTTGCTCGTGTCAAATTTAGTTCCCTTCAAGGACCTCGTAAGTATAGTCATTGTGGTGGTGATCATTATTTCGAGAAGTGTTTTAAGGAGCATGATTACCTTGATCTAGTGCTGTGGATCTAGTGCCTTAAGCCTTCCTGTGGATCTAGTGCTTACGATTTTTCACATGCCTAGCTGGGAGTCAACCAAAATCCCTTAAACTTAGGAGCCAACCAAAATTATTTTTGCAATTACAGGAGGGCTTCTAGGTGTTTATGGAAGGGGAGGGTATTCCAACTATACAGAAGCTTAATTTATTTTTGGGCTTTTATTTGATTTAACTCATGCATTTTCTTGCATAAAAAGGAACACTTGTCAATACTTGAGTAGAGAGATACACTAAACTCAATAATTTCTCGTAATCCGCTCTCAACCAAAAGCCAATGGGCTAATAAAGGTCATAGGAAGGAAATAGGGTTTCATAATCTCCTGCAGTTAGCTCGGTTTAATGGTTAAAATGAAGATAGGATTAAAGCTCCCAATGTAAGCGAGAGAGAGAGAGAGAGAGAGAGAGCAAAAGGCCCAAGAAGGGCAAAGATGACTCCAAGTAATTTTGCCTAAAACAAAATTATGCCTATCTGTCAATTCCATGCAGAAAACGGGCTTGCCATAAACTAGATTATCTCTTTCCCACTAAAGTCATGTGGAGCCTTGAAATTTCCAACTAATATTAATATTCTGTACCTATCGATCTACTGCACATGTGCCACAGCACACTTAAGTTGACAGCTATTAGCAAAGTCCTTCGCAAAGCACCATATATAAATGGAGGGTGTTATCAGCTTTAAAGCATGTATCTATAGGAGTGTCTATAGCTTCTAAGATTTTACATTTATTACTATCTTCCTTAGTTTCCATTTCAACGTTCACTGTTGATCGATCCTGGTTGTAGTCGTGTATTTGTGTGTTGTAAGTTGTAATCACAAGAAAGAGGTCCTAATTTTCTTTTCTTCTTTTCTCATAAGGAAAAGAACAGTGTGTTCCTATTAAAGTCCAAAGACAAAAAGAGCATTAGAAAAAGAAAAGATGACGGAGAAGGTGACTGTGAGCATAAGGGAGTCAACGATGGTGAGGCCTGCCGAGGACTCGACTCCTCGGGGCTCGCTGTGGCTCTCCAACTCGGACCTAGCATTCACACCCGTTCACACGTCCACTGTTTACTTTTACAGACCAAGTGGTGATCTCAACTTCTTTGACCAGAGAGTGCTCAAGCAAGCGCTCAGCAAGGTCCTCGTGCCCTTCTACCCCATGGCCGGTCGATTCAAGCTAAACGACCAGAATGGCCGTGGGGAGATTGATTGCAATGCGGAGGGAGTGCTTTTTGTTGTGGCAGAGAGCAACTCTGTCCTTGATGATTTTGGCGATTTTGTGCCCACTTCCGATTTCCTTAAACTCATCCCCGCCATGGATTACTCGGTTGGAGTATCCTCAAATCCCCTTTTGGTGTTACAGGTATTTAATATTTATCATCCAAGGTCTTTTATATTTTGTATGAGTATATAGGTATATTCTTGTTGCATCATTTATAAATGTCTTTTCCTGGAGAAATTCTCTCTCGTGTAACTACTCATTGCATCATTTTGATCTAGTCTTTTCCTGAATAAGATGTTTCGTTGAATTTTGTCATTTTAATGGCACTTCTCTTCTCAAATAGTTGAAGAGGCTGTAAGATTCATTCCTCCTCTTCATTGATCTGAAAAATAAATAATTAAAACCTTCAAATTATAGAACATGTGAAGCGTTGATGGAAACTAAATATTATAAATGTCCATTAGGAAATAAATGTATAGTTAATTCCTTTTCTGGTCTGTAAGGACAGCATGTGGTCCTTCAGATCTGGTTATCCCTTCTCTCTATTAGGTAAGGTTAGGTGGTTTAGAATCTCCATCTTTTCATGGTCTCGATTTTTTTTATTATCCTGCCAATATCGCATGGTCTGTTGTTCCCAAAATGCATGTCCCCTCCCTGCCCACTTTCTAATATTGCTAAGCCTGTCGCTGGACTTGACTGAGCATTGACACTGTTAAGTCATATAAAAAGACAATAAAAATTAAAAAAAATAAATCCAGTTAAGTCCTCTCAGCGAGCACCTCCCCCTATCTCTCTCGTTCGCCTCTGCGGTACTAGATATTGTTCTTAACTGATATCAAATTCAATAATGTAACAAAACTCTTTGGTATTCTTATTGACATACTATTGAACACGGCGACAGTGGGATTGGTGGTGGTAAAAACATGGGTGTTGTCCATTAGTAACTTTAGGTTAACCAAAAATTATTTTTTAAATTTTGTATTAAATTAAGTTAATTGCTTGAAAGTATATATATGTGTCAATTTTAGACTGCTTGGGGAGAAATCTCTATTTTCCTTTTGGGCCAGCGACGCTAACAAATGAATCTGTGACCATCCTAAAATATATTATGCGATGAAAAGGCTGCAAAAAAAAATTTACGTCCCGTGAAGACCCTTATGTGACGATTTATAAAATTTCCTTACTTATCTTACGTAAATATGACGAAATATTGGGTGTCGCATATAATTTCGTCATAGAAGACTGATTTTCTTGTAGTGTCTTAGCATCACCTGCCAAATATAGTGTAATTGAGAGAGTTGAGAATGTAGAACAAGAAGAACAAGATAGGTTTTGCAGAGAATTCAAATCTGCCAATTGAATTACTTACATGGTGAAGGGTTTGATATACAAGTATACAAGGTGATTATTAGTTACAAACAATGCACAAGACATGGAGGGAAACATGGAGAGTTTCCATCCCTAAAACAAGGAAGAAGAAAACAAGGAAAAGTAACAAGGTGGTAGACAAGCCATTTAGGGATGTCTATGTTTTGTCTTTGTCTTTACTAACACTCCCCCTCAAGTTGGTGCAAAGATATCACGCATGCCCAACTTGTCCAGTGAGTCATGGAAAACTTTACTTGATACGGCCTTCGTCAGGATGTCAGCAAGTTGGTTTTCCGAGTTTACAAATGGAAACTTGATTATACCCCTTTCTAGTTTCTCTTTGATGA